CGTGGTGGCTGCGACGGGGGGCTGCAGAGGGCCCAGGACGGCGCTGCCCTTGGGTCCTCCAGCAAGCGCCGCTTCAGTTGCGATACCGTAAGTCGGTACCTGTCGCCTGTCTCCTCCGTCTCGCAAGCCTGTCGCTCTCTTATTCGTGGCGTGGGCGAAAGACTCTCCACCGGACAGAACTCGGTTGCCCCGGACTCGGTCGCTGGGACCGCCGTTGGGGGGAGAGCGTCAGTCGGATGCGCGTCCATCGCGACCAGACAGGTCTCCGACCGTCAGGTATCGGACCGGCAGGGGAGTTATGTGTACGCGGCGCATGACAGGTACCCGGCGAATGACAGGTACCCGGCGAATGACAGATACCCGGCGAATGACAGGTACCCTGCGAATGACAGGGTTGTGGATCCCCCGGGGCTCTATCTTCGGGGCTCGAAACGATTCAGCCCACACGATCCTGTATGTTACACAGACACCCCTGTGGAACGGGAGCTTACGCGGCGTCAGTCACGGCATTCCGTCCGCGAACTCAAGGAGCCACCGGCGCCGCGTTCCTGCAAAACACTTTTGTGTATGGTCGCTGTCCTCGCCACCTTCGCCGTCTTCCTTTGGCACCCCATGTCCGGCACCGTCGACTTGATTAACACCCGCCCCCCACCGGTCCCACCCTTCTGCTCCTCCAAGCGAAACGCCTATGACCCCATGGACTGCGTCCAATGCCCAAAGTAAGCACAGGCACGGAACGGATGGAACGCATTTGTAGGGACGCTATCTGCTTCAATTCGAAGGCGGAGTGTCCGACGTACTTTTCGTTGGAGAAGTCGGTGTTAAACGACTGGCGTTGTGTGAATCACAAGGAAGAGTTGGAGAGGCTGGCGGATGAGGGGTTGAAGCGCGTGGTGGCTCACTTGAGGAAGGTCGAGGTGGCGGTGCCTTGCGGGCAGACGGTGTCAATGCCTGCGAGCAGGCGCGATGTAATCGACTTGTTCGAAGAGCAGATTGTGCCGCTAATGCCAACGAGGGATCGGACACAGTTGGGGCTACGGGAGGGGCTGTTACAGTTGTATTTGCGCGAGCTAGTTGACGAAATTAAGATGAAAGAACTTTACTTGGAACAACAAGGAAGTCTGCGGGTAACGTTAGCGTCCGTTCGGAGTAGCGACCGAACTATCTGTGTCATCCGACGCTACTCGGTGCCCCTTGTTGCCGCCGTCATTGGCACCAGTTTCTTTGCCGCCTATTTCTACCTCAAAGCTTCAGGTCATAAATGTACAGGGCAGAAAAGCTGACAGAATCGACGAAATAGTATCGTACCGAGAACATCGTACCGAGAACAGAGCCAAAAGCCTGGACGGGGGTCAACAGACCGTACCACGGCAACACCCTGAGGCAGCTGGACGGTAGCGTATAAACTCACGCCGTTTCTCTGTCCCACGACAGGGTGCTGAAGGACCATCCCGGTCTGAAGGACCAATGCAGAACAAACTCAGTGAACCTCTCTCTCTTGGCGTGTGTGCCGTAGTATGGAGCCTGGGTGATGTGTGTCGAATAGTGTGTGTACAGGGAATTATAAAATCGTGGTGGCACAGGGCTGCGATGAAATGATGTGAACTGGTTGTTGTAGGAAGGGGTTGTTTTCGAGGGTACGTACGTGCTAGAGAGATGAGAGAGGGTTGGCTCTCTCAGGGTTGTCGGTGGTTTGGTGGTGAGTGCCGTCTGTTTTGTCGTGATTTTTTTTGGAGTCTAAAATACCCCTCTCCTGGAACGATGCCTCCTGCTGTTGCTGCCCCCGCTGCCACTGAAGCTGCTCCCGTTGTCGGAGGACAGGACGAAGGCGTTACTCTTGCCCGTGTGACGCAGGTTATCGGCCGTACCGGATCCCGCGGTAACGTGACTCAGGTTAAGGTCGAGTTCATCAACCAAGGACGTACCCTTCTCAGAAACGTCAAGGGACCCGTGCGCGAAGGTAAACCCCACCCCCCGAATGACCCAACCAACACCTCTCGTAATGGGACTTTTCACCGCGAGAGACTATCCGCCGCCCTCTTCCCTTCACCCGCGGCCTTCATGTCGGTGCGGTGCTGCAAGCAATGCTGATGTTACTACATCGCCACGACTGTGTTTTGCTTAGGTGATATCTTGGTACTAATGGAGAACGAACGCGAAGCCCGCAGGCTCAGATAAGTTTTTAGACCATGACCTTTATGATATAGCGTGCCGTTTTAGACCATGACCTTTATGATATGGCGTACCGTATTTCCACAATAAAATATGATCCTGGGTCAACCTCTAAAGCCTGCTCGGTATGCCCAGTAGTATGTGCGATGGCGGTTGAGTATGTGCGGACATTGTGTGGGTGCTTACTTCGATGTTTAGAAACGGCCAGCGCTGCTGCCATGTGATGCGCGCGCTTGCATTGGTCCTGTGATAATCGAAGGCGGTAATGACGAGGTCCTTGTACAAGACCACGTCGGGTCGGAACTGTAGGTTGCAGACCCACTCGGCACCGCACATGATTTTCACGCACGGTCGACCCCCCACGGGTACCGCGTCCCGGAAACAGATTAGCATGAGGTTCTCGCGAGCAGTTTTGGGCGCGAACCTGCTGGGCAGCAATGCCACCTCAAAATCAGTCTCCGGCTCACGCGAGGGCGTTCGCGGTATCTTGACTAACGTCGAACACGGAGGTACGCTCAGGCTCCATGGACTCCGACCACGCCCCATGCACTGCAACACTGCGTACCACATCGGACCGATTAGTCTACGAGGGAAGCGCGTATGTTCCGTGTGTCTACAAACCTCAAGTGTGTGCGCAGGCACCAGGGGCCGGGCCCGGGCTAGGGTGGGCGGGGTACCTGTCGTACAGCTGGGGACTGTTAAGAAGCCATTGCTGCAGCGCCTCCTTGTCCAGTCCCCTGAGCGCGTACTGCGGCAGCTTTAACCGCTGTATGATCGCGTCTAGTTTCTCCTGCACACCCTTGCCGCCGAGGCCTGCAAGTGGAAACGGGTGGTTTGTTTCATTAAGAGGGGGAGGGAGGGAGGGAGGGAGGGAGGCAGGCCCAACATGGGGTGGCTTACAGCAGATCTGGTTAAACAGGTGAATCTGTTGGAGGACAATAATCGGGTGGGATATTGGCATGTAAGAAATGGAGCGGGAGAGTTTGGTTTCTCATCCGCCGCCGGCCCCGGCGCCGGAGAAGCAGCGTCGTCGCGAAAAGCAGCGTTTGAAGGCGGCTGTGTTTGCGTCGAAGCTGTCGGCGATGAATGGTCGTCGACACGCGTTAAGTTTCACGACCATATTTTACTTCCTGGCATTGCACAAGCTGGATCGGGAGATCCTGGGGTCTTCACCACTGGTTGTGCGCCAATCCCTTTTCCTACTGTTTGCGCATCACGTGGTTGCCCGCGGCTGCGAAGTGAAGCAACTTATGGGTTTCAAACGCGCGTGCGATGTAAAACGGCGTCAGGAAACACTTTGGCGTAAGACGCTTGAATGGATGCGACTCGCCACCGCCGCTGCCGGCAAGGCGCTCGAATTACACTCTGAAGACCGCTTCTTCAAACGCGTACTCACTGGACTCGAAGAATTCACCGACCTTACACTCTTCCCCAGAGACGTCGAAACACGTAGCGCACGCGTCGGTCAAACTGTTCACGACAAGCAAAACGTCGTCTTGAACCCCATGTTCGCCAAACGTCTTCTCCTCAACTACAGCGAAGCCTTCCGCGTCTGCCTCACACAAACTCTCCAACACGGGCCTCTCGATCCAGACCACGAAGGACCAACCGGCCGAGGACCAACCGGCCGAGGACCAGCCGGCAGGGGACCAGCTGGCGCAGGACCAACCGGCGCAGGGCGACAGGGACTCGGCAGCCAAGAGGAGCGCGGCCTGAAGGAAGGGGGCGGTAGCCAAGAGGGAATGCGCCCCCCGGCCGCGGCCGTGGCCAAGACAGTTCCCGCCATCGGCAGTCAGTGCGACGGCCGCCATCGGGACGCTGTTCGGCCGTCCACCGCGCGCGTGCTTTCGACGAGCAAGCTGTTCCCGTTCAGCCGCGAGGACTGCGCCGACCCGGAAGACGGCGGTTCGAGTCCACGCAAGGCCGCGGCGACGACGACCATGACGGCCGACAGCTGGAGCGTGTCGATGGCGATGGAGAAGATTCTGGCGCTGCAGGACAAGTTGACGGACGCGGACAAGATGCGGGATAATCGGGTCATTGCGGACATCGCCGAACGCATCAAGCACCTACCCACCCTCACGCAGGACCTGCTCTTAAACGCCATTCCCGTCGCCGTGCCCACATCTCACCTACCGCTGCAGCGGCAACTAACGCGCAGAGCCACACGACGACAGACATCCGAAGGCGGGCAGACCTCCCTCGAATCCAGAGCCAGTAGCGCACGCTCCGCCCCCGTGGAGCCACACTCTTCACTGCCTCAGTTGTCGCGGCCCCAGTGGTCTCAATCCCACCCCCACTCCCCACAACCCCACTCGCCGGAATCCCGCTCATCTCAGCCTCAATTGGGGTCCACGCCGCCTTTGCTGGCGAAGACGTCGGCAGAGCCGCTGGAGGACGACGAAGACGACGACGACGGCTCCGTCTCCTCCGCCTACACGGTCGAGGACTGCATGAACCTACCGCCCGACTTGGAAGACGTCGCCGAACTCGTTCCCGGTCTCGTCCCCGGCGACGCCCCCATCTCTGCGCGCGAACACGCCCGCACACCCTCCCCACCACGAACGGCACCACACGAAAGCGACGACCGCCTCCTCACGGCGCCGCCCGCTGTCCAGGCTGAAGAGAGTTGCACACTCAATGTCGCCAACGTGGTGAACATTCAAGTCATCTTACTCCGCAGCATGCTTTCGCGCCTCCTCTTCCACGGTACTTGGGATTCGGGCATCGAAAAGGTCGCCAAAGAGTACGAAGTCACCCCCGCCAAGCACCCCCCCCCCCCCCCCCCCCCC